CTGTCTGTCTGTCTGTCTGTATCTCTCTCTCTTCTCTCTCTCTCTCTCTCTCTCTCTCTCTCTCTCTCTCTCCTTTCTCTCTCTTTCTCTCTCTCTCTCTCTCTCTCTCTCTCTCTCTCTCTCTCCCTCTCTCTCTCTCTCTCTCTCTCTCTCCTTTCTCTCTCTTTCTCTCTATCTCTCTCTCTCTCTCTCTCTCTCTCTCTCTCTCTCTCTCTCTCTCTCTCTCTCTCTCTCTCTTTCTCTCTCTCTCTATGTCTCTATGTCTCTGTCTGTCTCTGCCTCTCTTTCACTCTCTCTCTCTCTATCTTTCTATCTCTCCCCCCCTTTCTCATTCTCTCTCGTTGTTTCTCACTCTCATTCCCTCTGTCAGTCTGTATGTCTATCTGTCTCTCTCTCTCTTATTCTCGGCCTCATTTGTCTCTTATTCTCATTCTTTCAGTCTGTCTGTTTCTGTCTCTATCTCTCTATCTGTCTGTCTGTCTCTCTCTTACTCTCAGCCTTATTCTCTCTCTTACAGTCTGTCTGTTTCTGTCATTCGTTATACGTCTTTCTGTCTGTCTGTCTCTCTCTCTCAGCACGTTTCTTTTTTACTCTCATTCTTTCTTTCTGTATGCCTGCCTGTCTCTCTGTCTCTCTCCCCTCCCCCTCTCTCACACACAGACATTCTCTTTCTGTTTCTCTCCCTCTCTTTCTCTTCTCTCCCGCTGTCTCTCACTTTCACTCTCTATGTCTGTCTGTGTATCTGCCTCTCTGTCTGCCTCTATTTCTCTTTCTCTCTCTCGTGTCACCCCCTGTTATCTGCCAAAAGACTTGTTGATAGTTTTCGTGTAGTCTGATTAAAACAGTTTCTTTGAAAACATCCCGTTTGTCTCAAAAACACTTTTCGTCTCTTTAGCACCGAATGTCTTTCTCTCAAACACAATATCTGTCTCCCTTACGCCCTGTGACTATAACCTAAAGCCATATTTTATGTCCCCAACTGCTTTTTTTTTTCCCAAAACGTATGCATCCATCTAGCACTCTATCTATCTATCAGTCTATCTATCACCCTAAAGGCTTCTCTAACCCCTGTCTACCTCCGTAACACTCTATCCATCTTCCAAACACTTTTTATTTTTTATTAGAACACCTTAGATTTCTTATCCTAATTCTGTATCTCTCTTCGCAACTCCGTGGCTGTCTCTCACTCTCTCTCTCTCTCTTACTTTCTCTCTCTCTCTCTCTCTCTCTCTCGTTTCTCTCTCTCTCTCTCTCTCGTTTTTTTTCTTTCTTTCTCCCTCTCTTCTCTCTCTCTCTCTTTCTTCTCTCTCTCTCTCTCTCTCTCTCTCTCTCTCTCTCTCTCTTTCTCTCTCTCTCTCTCTCTCTCTCTCTCTTTCTTATCTCTCCCTCTCTTTCCTCTCTCTGTCTCTCTCTTTCCTCTTTCTCTCTCTCTCTATCTCTCTCTCTATTTCTTATCTCTCCCTCTCTTTCCTCTCTCTGTCTCTCTCTTTCCTCTTTCTCTCTCTCTCTTTCTTCTCTCTCTCTATCTCTCTCTCTATTTTTTATCTCTCCCTCTTTTTCCTCTCTCTGTCTCTCTCTTTCCTCTTTCTCTCTCTCTCTTTCTTCTCTCTCTCTATCTCTCTCTCTATTTCTTATCTCTCCCTCTCTTTCCTCTCTCTCTCTCTCTCTTTCCTCTCTCTCTCTCTCTCTCTCTTTCTAACACCTTGTCTAACAAAGCTGAATTTGTCTTTTAACACAATTTATACTTTCTTAGTTCCGTCTAACACCCATCTATCTACGTTATCAACCTATCTAACTTTCTAAACTCTATCTTTACCATGCCAACGCCCCTGGTCTACCGTTCCTTACCTATCTATCAGACTGACACTGTGTCTGTTTTCCTGATATCCTTTATAATTTATCAACCCTATATATCATTAATGTTTTTTATATTATATCCTACCCTTAGAATTTTCTCTTTTCCAAACAGCCTATATACTTAACACTTTATAAAACTTTCTGAATAAATCATCAGGTTTCCCTAATACCTCATTATGCTTGCTCCCAGCCTATCTAACTTCCAAACACCTTATCAAACTTCCTAATATCCTGTCACTCATCCTATTTCCCTATCAAACTTCTTGCCTATTTCCCCATTAAACTTCTGCTCATTTCCCCATTAAACTTCTGCTCATTTCCCCATTAAACTTCTGCCTGTTTCCCCATTAAACTTCCGCCTATTTCCCCATTAAACTTCTGCTCATTTCCCCATTAAACTTCCGCCTATTTCCCCATTAAACTTCTGCCTGTTTCCCCATTAAACTTCCGCCTATTTCCCCATTAAACTTCTGCCTATTTCCCCATTCAACTTCTTGCCTATTTCCCCATTAAACTTCTGCCTATTTCCCCATTAAACTTCTGCCTATTTCCCCATTAAACTTCTGCCTATTTCCCCATTAAACTTCTGCCTATTTCCCCATTAAACTTCTGCCTATTTCTCCATTAAACTTCCCAAAGCCCA